CGATTCACCAGTTAGTTGATGGGTGTTTGGGTAGTTTCCCCTTTTTGGCTGTTACTCTGTTATGAAGATTTTTATAAATGTGACATCTTTAAACCAGCATCAGAACAGTCTAATCCGCGTGTATAGTTAACAGGACAGCCATTATATATCTGCTCGGAAGACTGAACAAGATGAACTGGAGAATGAAAGAAAAATCCCTCTGTTGTGCAGTGACATGTTTAGTGGACCAAAGACCTGCTGCTAGCAGGAAAATTTACATTTACAGCTAATGAGAGTTTTAAAATATTTCTAGAAATATATTTGTCATTTTATTCTTGCAGCCCAATACTTCTAAATGCTTTTTAGATTTAAAATTGTAGTATAATAATTAACAGATCCAATGTTATTCATGAGTATAAAAAATTAAAGATAACCACATCAGCAATGGGAATAATTTTATCAGTGCTATCTTCAAGAGAGTGCAGCATTAATTAGCATGCATGTATCACACAATGAGATTTTTAAATACAGCCATTTATTGCTGCTTATTTGCAATATTTGCTGCATTTCAGCTCTGGTGGGTAGACTATGAGGAGGATGAGTGTTAACAAATAACTTCTGTAGTGAGCCAGAGGAGGATAACTAAACGGGCAGGGAGAGGCACCCGGCAGTGCAGCCTGAAGTGTCTGGTACAGCTGCAGTGTGTTTGGAAACAAAAGTAAATTGGCGTGCAGCAATTAGAGATGAAGTGGTTTTTTATGAGCAAAAGCACCATGTAGCCTATGAATCAAAGCTTCAGAACTGTAAACAATGATAAGCTATTTACTCAGCAGTTGTCACTACAAAGCAAGAGAAAGGTGGGCATACAGTAGAAAGCAGTGATTCTCAAGACTGAGCGTGCCTCAGTAACACCTGGGGGCTTGTTAAAACTCACTTTGCTGAGCCCAAGTGCCCAGCTTCTGACTCAGCTGGCCTGGGGTGAGGCCCAAGGACTTCATTTCTACCAAATTCCCAGGTGATGCTGCTGTTGCTGGTTCAGGAACCACACTTTGAGAAACACTAGCATAGAGTTAAATGTCAGATACTAATCACATCATATACATGATGATCATAACTGTGTTATCTTTAAATATGTAAGCTAACATTGTATTAACATTTGACTCAAATAGTACTTTCCTCCTGGCTCTTAAATGTTCCTTATTAAATCATTCTTTCTGAGCAGAATGAACTATTTCTAGAATAGAGTCTTAGTATCCTAACATATATGTTCTGGGTCCTAGAATCTTAGAATCTCATCAAGGGTATATATTTCTGTCATCTGATGCATTAATCTTGCCTGAAACATTTCTACCACATGGTCATTCAGGCTGTGCGTATCAAGAAACTGATCGTTTCCCAAAGCAGCTCGTTTCAATGTGTGGAAAACCATGACTATTAGAAAGTTTTCTTTTTTTAATTGGGCTGAAATCTGTTTCCCCGTTACTTTTGCCTATTAACCCCAGTTCTAACTTGTGCACAATATGAGAAATGGAAGATAAGTGTTACTAAAGTTTTGTGACTATCTTCAGATAACTAAATATAGCCTGTTATGCTTTGTCCCACCTTCCCTTTTTGGGTAAAGATTTACAAATACACAAGCCATTCCTTATAGATAAGATGTCGGGTCCCCTCACCCTCCTGATTGCCTGCCTCCTAAGTTTTATATCCAGAATTTAACATAATTCTGTAATAGAGTAAAAATAATTCTAATACAATGGAATGGTGTAGGCGCAGACCTTCGTGGTTTAGATTATATGCTATAACATCAGAGACTTAAATTTGAGTCTCATCTCTGCCCCTTTTTAGCCTTGTGATCTTGGGAAAGTTTTTTGTTTTTTTAACCTCTTGGAGATTCCTTTGCCTCATGTTTTCAGTGGGGTTATAAAATCTACTCCGCATGTTATGTTGGAGGGTGGTACTGAATAAAGAGAACTGGAAAACAGCTATCTGAAGAGCAGTCGCATCCTCAGGCCTCTCCTCCGGGCCAGACAGATGAAAACTGCCCTGAATATTCACCTACCCTCACAACCTCCGCCAGAAGTCTAGAGATTTGTTTTCTGGAGACGGTAGCTGGAGGGCCTCTGAAATGAGAGATGCTAGGGAGAGTTGAGTGTGCCGGTCCTATAACAAGCACTGCAGGATTAAGTGGCCATGTGCAGACCAAATGAGATTCCTGTCCCATTTCCTTCCTAGACTCCCAGCACACTGGGAGCCAGATAGATCTTCATCTTCTACGCATGGGTAGAAAAACTATTCTCACAAGAACCTATAATCTCAAAGGAAACAGCCAAAGATTTTGACATTAGTGGTTCCCCAACAAGTGACCCACTCAATTGACTATACACTGAAGTTCAACGTTGACAAGTCCCTCACTCACACTGAGAGCTTCCAATCAACTCTGTAATCCTTTATTCTTAATCATAAACAGATAGAAAGGTGTACCAGACATCTGAAAGAAACTTCTAACATGAAACATTGAAGCAAGAGATCTGAGAATATGTTACACCCAGGAAACAGGAAACAAGAACAGGTTGTTACAAGAAGAATTTCTGAGAACCAAAAAGAAAGAAAGAAAGAAAAGCTCTTGGAAGATAAAAATATAATAGCAGAAATTAACAACTCAGTGGTAGGATTGGAAGCTAAAATTGACAGAATTTCTAAGAAAGTAGAGCACAGAGACAAAGGTAGGGAAGATGGGAGAGAAAAATAGGAAGATTAGAGGAGTCCAGGCGATCTAACATCTGAAAACAAGAGGAGGTTTAGAAAGAAAGAACAGAGAAGATAAATGATTAAGGCAGTCAAGAAAGCGTTCTAAAGCTGGAGGAAGTGAGTTGCCTGATTAAAAGTCAGTTGACTTAAAGTTGACCTCAGTGAATGAAAAAAGTCCCCCTCAGGGCGTACGAAGTTTCAGAATACAGAGGACAACGGAAATTTTATGAAACTTGGGAGATAAAACAGGTTGTATACGGTTATACACAATGACTATGGATTAGAATGGCTCCCAATCCAGAGCAGCAATACTGGAAGCAAGAAGACAGTGGAATTTTGCCTTCACAGTTCTAAGAGAAAGGACTTTGGACCCAGAATTTTTTATCTAACTGAGCTATTATTAAGTCTAAAAGTAGAATACTGACATTTTTCAGACATGCAAGTTCTCAAAACTTTTACTTCACATGCATCCTTTTTCAGTGAAGTCCTGGGGAATGTGCTATTCCAAAATGAGTGTAGCCCAAGGAGAAAGTCGGGATGCAGAAAACAGGAGGGCGGTGAGGGGCTGCCAGACGCCAGCTGTGAGCGTGGCTCAGTGTGGCAGTGTGACTCAGGACCCAGTCGGCACGCCCATTACCACGTACCCTCTTTTTAATCCAAGGCTGGAATGTCTGGATAAGCCTGACCTAGATGTGTAAGTGTTCTTGTCTTGATTATGTGTTAGTGAACTTCCTGCTTTCCTTTTCGTGTCCTGCTGCTGCATCAGCCGAGAATACTCACGTCACCCCCATAAGTTTTGTGATTGGAATTTTCCTTAAGAACTGGAGATAGACCTCAGAGAGCTTTGAAGCAGAAAATAGAAGCTGCCTGCCCTGGCCATATTTTTCACAGGAGGTCCAATTTAGTTTAGAAGGACATGAATATGTAAAAGAAATAAAATAATATAGAAAGATAAGTCATGTATGCTAAGTGGTAAGCATTAATGTCCCTGTTCTGTGACTTACAGTGAGTAAGTTTTTGTTTTGTTTTGAAGTAGCAAGTCCAGAGTTTACTTTAAAGTCCAAAGACTTTAGCACTGGACTTTGCCAGTTTGTACCACCTCATACACAAATGGATGTAAATAGACATTCCTAGGAGACAAGAAGGAGTTCTGTGTCCAAGGAAGTTTGAAAACACTTGAATAAATTACAGGTGGCCCTTGAGCAACATGGTTTTGAACTGCACAGGTCCGCTCATACATGGCTTTTTCAGTAAATACGTGCTACAGAGCTACACGATCTGAGGTCGGTTGAATCTGCTGATGCAGAACCTTGGATGTGGCGGGCCAACTGTATAAAGTTATAGGGGACTTCCGAATGTGCGGAGGGCCGGTGCCCCTAACCCCCGTGATGTTCAAGGGTCAGGTGTTCTGTAGATGCCTCAAAACCTTAAATGTGTTAATGGATGTTGGTAATCTCCTAATGGGAGGCGTAATATGCAAGTGGCCAGTCTCATTTGACTTTGAAGCCCTGTTCTCACAAAATATCTTTTTACATCTTAAAGAACACAGTGTTCCCCAGAACAGTTTGGGAAATAATGATTTAGAATGAAGTGTGAAAGAAGAGTTTTCATATGATTTTGCCAGAAAGGAAGTTAAAAATGTTATCAGATCTTTAATTTTATGGAAAGTACCTTTAGAATGCTTTTTATTTTACTTATAGTTTCTTGGTGAAAAAAAAAATTATATGCATGTGCTAAAGTGTCCTAGATCTCAGGGTGGACTGAGTCTTAACTATATTTGACCACTGAGAGGAAAGATTAGTTTTATAACTTTGGGTACTTGTAGTTGGTTGTTCATTTTGCCATAAGAATATTCTTTGTTGGGAAAAAAAAGATGAAGGAAACTATGTGACATGTTTCTTTGACTTTCTACTTTAAATGTCAGCTTAAAATACTGGCAGTCAGTAGAATAGGGTGTAATATTTTACTTTTCTGCTCTCTCTGTTAAGTGTAATGTAAAAATATGTTGGGCAAGATTTAAGAGTCAAGATGAATATTGATAACTCTATTTTGGTTTCATCTCCATAGTATTATTGATATACAGTACATTTTTAGGTTTTCTCTGTTTCCTGCTTTGGGTTACTTGGGCTTATTATGACTGTTTAACATATTAAATTCTAAGTAGTTTATTTATGTTGAGACCTTTCGGATAGGATTTTACATCGTGAAATTATTTTAGTTATCACTCTCATTTGTATGTTGCATAATCTTTCTCTCTCATTTATACATTTTAGTTTCAACTGCCTCTGAGGGAACATCTTCCTTTTCTACTTTATCCATGTCATCTCCTAATTTAGCCTCTCCAGAGAATTCTGTTCATCTGTTACCCCCAGTTGTGGCTGGACCTTCTATCTGGACTTTGTCCCACCAACAGTCTTCTGCGTCCATTAAAGAGAAAGCTAAGACAGCCAGGGTTCATCGCCCTTTTGCTTCTAGGGGCCCGCTGTTCTCTGATGAAGAAGAAAGTGACCACTTCAACCTACTGGAAGTTCTTCCAGACAACTCTGATTCTGCCAAAAAGAAGACAAGTCCTATTTCTAGCAGTAATTGGGTAGAGTTTTCCACCCAAAATGTAGACCATTTTACCTCTATATCCTGTTCTAGTTTTCAGGCAACCAAAGACCTGCCTAGGGAGCCTGAAGCAAACAATTCCACTAACGTTCTTCTCGGGGAGGTAAAAAATGCTATAGTCAGATTACATGAAGATCTGAGCATGGTAATACAAGAACTTAACGTCATCAGTAGCCATCTGGTAAGTTTGAGTGGGAGTAGTCCACAAATAGGCGAGTCTTCGCAGTTTCCCAAGGAGAGCTCGGATCGAGTCTAACAGTCTTAATAGCCGTTTTTATAGAACTCATTTCCCAAAGACTAAGACGTTAACCTTCTATAGATTCTCATTATTATGGCAAAATAGGGTGATGGTTTGATTTTTCCTTGTCAGGTTTATTGAACAAGTGTATCTCAAACCAACAAATTCATTTGGGTAGTTTATTTTTTAAAGAGAAATGGAATCGCCTTTGATAATATCTTCAGATTTAGATATTAGTTCATTTGAAACTGAAGAAAGTTTCATTCTTCCATGCTCTGTACTTTACCTCAAAATATTTTAAGCATTAGTGAAAGTTACAGTAAGACTTCAAACTGCAAATGACTATTCTAGAGCTTTTGGATAAGTTGGCAGTAAAAAGCCCTTCGTTTTCCATCTGTGTGGAGTTTCATTGTTAACAAGCGTTTGCCTTGACTTAGGAGAACCGAGTCTGGGGTATATGTTTCACATGTTCTCATGTCAAGTTTCAGGTTCTGCAAACCAAGGGCCAGAAATCTTTTCCCTTCTTGTGGATCCATAGTTGGTTGGGAGTTAAGTTGAGACAAGTAGGACATGGAACAGGTGTTTTATTTTGTTAATGTATAATGCAAAGTGAATTTAAATGTGTACTTGTTTCTTGTATTTTGGAAAATAAATTTGATGTTTTTCATCTTAGATGTATCTTTTTAATTCATTAAGATAGCCTTCAAATAGAAATGTCTCGATTATTATATTTATTGGGAAAATGATCTGGCTTGGGTATTACAGAACAGTGTTTCTCAATCCTGCTACAGATTAGAATCACCAGAGAAGTTTTTGTTTCGTGTTTATTTGAGAGAACAGTGTAAAGGACTCCATGTACTCATTGCTCAGTTTCAACAATTACTAACCAAGGGCTAAAATAATCTCTGATAATTCTGAAGAAATGTGAGACATTTAAAAAGTATTCTAATGCTTGGGTGCCACTCCCAAATCAAAATTGATTTTCATGATGCAAACTGGTTAAGAACTAGAAGGAACTGTTACTGCAAAAACTCTAAAGTGGGAGGATATTTGCATGTTCGAGGACTGTCAAGGAGGCCAGTGCGGTTGGTGTGAGGTGAAGAAAGGGGAGAATAGGAGATTTCAGTTCATGGTGGAAAGGGCAGGGAGTGGTGCCAGATGAAATGGTTGTTGAAGACCGTCATTAGAGATTTTGGCTTTTACACTGTGAAATAAATATTATGACAGGCGTTTAGGGTGAAAAGTGATATGATGTCACTCTGGCTTTGGGGGAGAGATGGAGGCAGGGATTTGGGATGAGGCAGGCGAGCCAACAAGCAGGCTGTTGCAGTTATCCAGGTAAGAGCTGACATGGCTCAAAGCAGGGAGAGCATGGCAAAGGTAAGTGACAAGTGATTTGTTTAGGGATTTGCTGGTGGGTTGGATAAAATATATAAGAGAAAGAGAGGAGTCAAAGATGAATCCAAGGTGTTAGACTGAACAACTCAAGTTCAAGGTGAAGTTGCCATCGACTGAGATGAGGAAAGTGGCAGATAGAAAAATTCTGAGGCTTTGAGGCATTCATTTTTGAATAGGTTAAATTTCAGATGTCTATTAAGTAACCAAATCAAGATATCAAGTAAGCAGTTGGATATGAGTGTGAGTTTAAGAGATAGATCTAGATTGGAATGGAGGCTGACAGTTAGTAATTAATTCTTATTTAAAGCTATGAGTCTGGATGAAATCACCCAAGGAATCAGTGTGACAGTGGAAAGAGGTTGAAGGCTGAGCCCTGGGGCATTCTAACGAGGTCAGGAAGAAGTTGAGGAACCAGTGAAGGAGACTGAGTTCCACTGAGGTAGGAACAAGACAATATAGTGTGTGGTGTTTGAAATCCAAGAGTGTTTTTCTCTTCTTGGCTCTTTTCTCCTTTATGTGCCTTACAGAAGCATCTTGTCAAGTTCTTCCCAAAGCCCTATTAGATTTTGGTCAAAATTGCATTAAATCTATTAATCAATTTGGGGAACTTTTTTACAAATTTAATTTTCCAATCCATGAGCATGGTATATTTCTATCTGTGTTCATACTGCTGTTATCTTAATGTTCTTCAGTAAGCTCATTATTTCCCCCACAGAGGGCTTCTATTCCTTTCTTTAAAAACTTAGTTCTTTGTTCTTGATATTTGTATGCTATTGTAAGTGCTACTATTTTGCCATTTTTTACAATTTTAGAATAGAAGAGTTTATAGAAATGTTTAAGGTATAGTTGTACATTGTACATTCATAGAGCCTTTACTCAGGTTCACCAACTGTTAACCTGTTGCCATGTTTACTTTATCGCCCTCTCTTACTAAACACATGTATGTCTGTATACGCATTATGTAGATATATGGACACACACACACACAGAACCACTTGAAAGTAAGTTTCAGATATCATGACACTTCACAGCAGAATATTTCAGCATGCTTATTGCATGAATCCGGGTAATTATTTCCCAACCTTCCTTCCAGTTAACCAGTTCTCTCTTCAGCTATGTCTAATCTGTTATTAAATCTTCCCATTGGGTTTTTAATTCAATTATTATATTTTTCATTTCTAGAATTCTACTTGAGTCTTTTAAGATCTGCTATATTACTTTTCATAGGTTTGTGTTTCTTGCAGATATTTTCAAGTTTATCTTTGCTAGTAAGAATGGTAAACAAACTAGTATAGAATTCTCACTAGTAAGAATACTAAGTAAACTAGAGAGTGTTCTTACTAGCAAACTATTTAGAATGGTTTAATACATACATCTAAAGCTATAAATTTTCCTTTACATGGTTGCAATCCACAAATTTTTAAAAGTTGAGATATAATTCACGTCATAAAATTTACCTATTTAAGGTGTACAATTCAGTGATCTTAGTATATTCACAAAGTAGCACTATCCTATTCTAGAACATTTTTATCACCACAAAGGGACATCCGTACCTATTAGAGGAACCCTCCCATTTCCCGTCCCTCAAGCCCCTGGCAACTACTAATCTACTTTCTGTCTCTCTTCATGAATTTGCCTGTTCTGAATATCTCATATATACGAATCATGTAACATGTGGCTTTTTGTGTCTGGCTTCTTTCATTTAGCATAATACTTTTTAGGTTCATCCATGTTGTAGCGTGTATCTGTACTTCATTCCTTCTTATGGCTGAATAATACTGCTTTGTGTGGAAATACCACATTTTGTTTATACACTCCTCATGGGCATTTGGGTTGTTTGCACTTCTTGGCTGTTACAAATAATGCTGCTATGAATACTTGTGTGAACATACGTTTCCAGTTTTCTTGGTCAGATACCTAGGAGTGGAATTGCTGGGTCATAGGGTAACTTTTATATTTTGAGGAATTGCCGAACTATTTTCTGAAGTGGCTGCAGGATTGTACCACAAGTTTTGATTTGTATCTTCATTGTCTTTTGGCTCAAAATATATTCTAATTCCTGTCATAAGGGAATGTGGAAGCATATTTCTTACTTTCCCAGCGTATTGTACTCTCTTTCTGAGAATTCTGACATCTAATGTATTTGCAGGCCATTCCATGTTACCTGTTGCCCTGCTGATTTGTGCTCACGATGCTGTTTCCTCGTGACCTGAATATTCTTGACTGTATGCTGGTCATGACACTTGAAAATTTATTTGTGTGATTAATACAAGAATTTGTTTTTTGCTTCTGCCAAGTACCAGGTGCTGTTGCACCAGCATACTGGTTAGGTCAATCAAGGTCATGGCTTGAAGTTTTCTATAATACCCAGGTTAATCCCAGACTTAAATTCCTCATAAGAGACGGTTCATTTCCAATTCACTCTCAGTGTATGACCACTGGGTTCCACGAGAAGTATCTCTTCTTAGATATTGCCACCTGTGTGATGTGATTTCTGTTCCTATCAGCTTTCAAGGCCATCAAAATGAAAGTTGAAAGTGTTGAATTCAACAAATGCTCTTAGGGAAAGGTGGCTTCTATGATCATTTACCTGTCAGGTCTCTGTCTTCTTGAGTGCCTATTATTTATAAGACTCTGTACCAGATACAGTGCTGAACAAAATCAGATACAGCTCCTGTCCCCACAGAGCTTGAGTTCTAGAGTTCTGGAGAAATTTGATAGATTAATCAAAAAAATTTGTATGTAAAAGGTTAATAATTCTGGGAAAGAATATTTAGTATTTGACCTGGTGGAAGAATTCTTAAGGAAATAATTTTTGAGCTGAAATACAAATTCCAGGATTATTAAATAAATGCCACCAATGACACATTGGGCAAATAAACTTCTTTTTGAAATAAAACCCAGTGTAAAATAAGTACAAAATCTTAAGACCTCTTCTGTTGGTTTTCTTCTTATATCTGGGAAATCCATCAATGACTTCATATGGGATAGTAAGATACAATATCTTCTTTTTGTACTAACTATAAAATTTATTTGTTGTACACTGCCAAGATTTGAGAAGAAAACCCTTCCAGAGGTAAAGCACTCCTCCCTCCGCATCCCCCATCACCAACACTTGCTGCATCAGACATACTGGAATTTACTCAGAGAAACCTCGAAAATAACTGAGGCAACAAAAACTGTCTCTTTGAGAAAATAGCTTACTTGCTGTGTGCTTATTGCGTGCACACGTACCTTCAGATTTTAACTAGGTTTTACATAGCTCATATATTTTAATTCAACCATTTGTTAATTAGTATAATTAACAAGCACTTATTTGAGTTTCTATTTAGCCAACTCCATTAAACGAATAGAATAAACTTGGCTTAAATTAAGAGTGGGTATGTTCTGATTGACTTTTTAATTATCTTAGATTAAAAATACTTCATTAGATGTTATTCTCTTAAGTACCTTACTTGAAACTTGAGGATCTTATTATAAGGCGGCTATAAAAATAATTTACAGTTTGCTTACTGTCAAATTACACATGTGTTCATTTTTTAAATATTTATTAAGCACCCGTTATGAGTAGGCAGTTTGCTGGGCTTTGGGGATACCTTGGTGAACAAGACAGATGTGGTCCTAAATGAATGGGTAATTCGGGTGTGATACGTAAATTCTATGAATTTGGGAAGCACAGGACAGTATAGGAGGGCTTGGTAAAGAGCCACAGCCAGCTCTGATCTGGGGATCAGGGAACACTTCCTGGAGGAAAGGAAATCCAAACCAAATCCTGAAGGATTAGCAGGATTTAGTCAAGCAAAGGGACTTAGGGTACAGGGAGAATTTTCTAGGCAGAGAGAACAGGATGCACAAAAGCTGGGAGCCAGAGAGAAGCAGGAGGGTTTGGAGACAGGATGTACAAACTGCTGGGGCCAAAACCAGAGCACGTGAGTGTCCCTTTACTCATCAACACAGTGGGTGATGGTTAGGTAGCATCTATAGACTGAATAACAAAAAAGGACTGAGTGACAAGAAAATGGATCCTATTGAAAATGAAGTGTCATAAAAATGTGGGCTTAAAGGTCTTCCAAAATCCATTTACAAACTGATAAAAAAAAATAGGCTTTAAAAAGGGTTTTTAGAGACCTTGGTGACATTTTCCCACCAAATGAGTCTGTTGTGACAGTGGTTTGCTCCTGGGTGTGCAGGGAGTCCCTTCTTTCGTGTGCCTTCAT